GGCCCTTTGTTTTGTTGCCTTCAAAGTGATCTCATGTCCAGTCTCTGCGATCTATTCCGCTCGCTATAGCTGACCCTTCAGTAGCTATTCTCCTGCAGAGCCTTTCATGTTCCTTAGTTGGTATGCCAATCTATTTCTGTTTGTAGATATTAAATGAAATGCAGCAAACTACCAAGCAATCGAATTCGTCCACCCTCTAATGTTGTGTGGGTAGACTTGTGAAGTGTGCTTTTTACTTTATAACCACCTGAATATTCCATTTTCTTAATATTGGTCGTAGTTTTTGAGTAAGTAAGGGAGGCATATCCACTTTTCTCAGTCTTTCTCCATCATTGCCTTTCTTTCATAATCCCCGTCCTACCATCGACTCTTCACGGCCAGTATATTTATTTCTATTACCTCTCTCGGGTATCCATCACCGAAGAAAATCCAAGTCAATTTTTATATTTCTATATATTGCCAATATGACCAAGTTGCGATAAAAAGGTCATCTTCTGTTTCATCCTTTGCATTCGAGAACGTCATGAACTGCTTTGTAGGGAATGCAAGAGTCAAAAGAGAGGAGCAATAGGAAGGAGGGACAACCCCATGCGTTGTCTTGACGAGCTGATATTCTGAGCTGACCACATACGGAAAAGGTTGCCCGATGTCTCCCGTTCGGAATGGTTGAAGCAAGTGAAGAAAACCGAATCTAACATGCCGTGAATCGGAGGAGCCGATAATGAAGGCTATAACCGCACGCAACAAGCCAGCATGACATACTTCGAAGTTTCTGCCCAACTGCAGACGTATATATTCAGGTTGCACAACACGAAAAAGTAGGCAATGTACCTATCCTGTCGTATGTCTGCAACGAGGCAAGTGGAGGAATATGTAAGAAAATGATAAAAAACGAATTACGAAAACGAACTTTTCTCAGAATGACGCCTCGTCTAATACACACCATAGGACCCACAAACAATGAGGCCAGCAATGAATTGAATTGAAATATCATAGCAAATCTGTTTAAGTCGAATGGCACTCTTGCTTGGAATGATGAGAATCGAAGAAATTACAGTAGAGGGATACGGGAAAATGCCAAATCTTGCAACCGACAAATAAGCAGATCCAACGTAAATTAAAGACTTATTTTCAC